AAAAAAAACAATGGTCAGCGATCAAAAAAACTGTCTTTCTTGCGCATGTGATCCTTAAGGCAGCCAAGCGCGAAAAATCATAATCATACCAGTCAACATTCCGCGGAAAAGTGAAAAGATTGAGTAAAAAAAAAAGAAACAGGGAAGTTACTTCTTAAGGAAACCCTGTTCGTTTTTCCCACAAAATTAGTCAAAACCACTTCCATATTCGATGTGAGAGGTGGATGCGCTCGGGAAGCAACCTAAGCGGTGACATATGTCAGCGGCAAGCATCGCTGGCAGAGCTGCTGATGGTTCTCTCTCTTTCGAGATACCCATTGTTAGCTTGCTTCTAGCAGCACTCGAAAGGGATTTTTACTGACAGCTTTACCAGCGAGTGGTTACTATTAGCACGTGTTACCGCTTGGACGACTATCGACTACCTTTGTGTCTTATAGAAAGCAAATTATGGAAAAGGGTTGACGTATGAATAACAAAGCGCTTACTGTGAACAACTCGGCAACAGATTTTTTTTAAAGTTGCCGAATGCTTTGCTGGCCAAAACTTGATAAGATTTTTTCTCACAAGATTCTCCAAAGACACTTTCAATTTTAACGCTTTTACGGCTTTCCTCAAATGCCCAAAATAACGAAATTAGCAGAACCGAGCTTTTCCCAGTCAACCTTCAAGTTTTCCGAACAACTTTATTATCGAACAACTTTTTGCTCACGCGAAGCTTCAACAAAGATGTCGTGTACCTGTACGACATTGTTATATTGAAGTAATTTTTTGGTAACTTTTGCAAGTCTTCTCCCATATTCAGTGGCGATTCATACGCAAAGAAAACGTAAGGCTGATTGAAGGAACGATTCTGAGGCATATCCCCAGCTTTCATATCTTCGATATGAAACCACATTACATCGGCCGAATCGACAACTCTAAATATTCTCAGTGCTACAGCAACACAAAATCATTCGTAATGCGCAGAGGTGGGACGCTGCGATTACGCATTTTTGCGTCAGTATGTGCTATAGTGATTTCACTATAGCACATACTGACGCAAAAATGGCTTGGATGAGACTCTACATGATACACAGGCAGAGAGAAAGATGATTGCAGAACTTGTGCATCGCAGATGAGTGAGAATATGTTCCAAATACGTCAGCTTCCTAACTTTACCTGTTACTAAATAGAAAGGCAAAAGTGCGAAAACACAAAACAGTGTCTCTTGCCAATATGCCCTTTTGCATTTGGTAAATGTGCCAAAACACATAAGCAGCGTAGGAATTTGGGGAGAATTGAGAATTTTACTTCACCAAACAGCAGTCCAAATTTTTTACATACCCTAAACCTTAACAAATGATCAAGAAGGCCAGGCAAAACAGATTGACAGGCTTTATAAACTCTAAATTTCACTAATTACCTTCTGTCATTGGTCACAGCACACTTGTATTCACACTGTTGAAAATCTTGTCGTATCTCTTCAGTATAATTGATAATACCAAAAGTGGTCCAAATCAGTATCAAGGGAGGATTCTGACAGTTTTGCATCGTTACATTCGTTTTTTCATCCTGAAATAATTAGGCTTTCTTTTACATTAGGATTTTCGCAACAGCAGAGTTCGATGTGGTGAAGTGCATCAGAATGATCCAAACTATACATTTGCCTTTTGCCAGCTTTGGTATAAATTAGCTTTGATATAAATTAGCCGATGACGCTGATGAGTTGCGGCGCTGAGCTAAAACGTTTTAGGTAACTCCAGATCAAGCTTCCAGCACTTTAGCTTTTCTCTCCCCTCATTTCTGCTTCCTTCGCTCTGCTGGTCTCTTTTCCAGCTTCCAACTTTTTAATTTGCAAGTATTTGGCTCGTGTCGTGATGCAAGCAAACGGCCAGAAATTAACCGCTTAAATTTTGAACAATAACCTTAATCGTAAGTACACAGCTTGATGCTAGAGCTTTAAATGGAATGTCACCGTGAAGCTGCAAAATTGCTTTAATCAAGAGCGGTCCTAGCAAGATTCTGTGTGTGTTCTTAACAATCAGCTAGATTCAAAGACACACAACGGGCCTCCTTCTGAGTTCGCTGCCGCTCATCGAATTTTGGCACAAACAGAAAAAAGCTTACCTTTAATGCATAAGTCAAAATTGGCTTCATTCCTAACAGTTCCCAAATAACCAGCACAACCCAGTTCAAATACAGCAAACAGGAAAACCAAGAGAGCACTGTGAAATGTTTCACATTTAAACGTCGGCTGCAAAGCATTGACCTAAAAAGCAACACGGTGAGTTTAAAAATTGAGTTTTCCACTCTAGCCTACTGGGGCAACCAGTCTCTCTGTGAAGGGTTCATTTGTTTCAGTGTTCGTACGCTTCTCAATTTTATTACAGTTTATAGGGGCGGAAACAAATACGTTCGAAAACTATTTCACTTTACATTCCAAGAGGAGGCATACTCGAAGAATTTAAGTCCACAGCTTGTAACATAAAGCCAA